GTATATAGACTGACATCTTGAGAAGATGCGTATGAGATACAACGTCAAATAATCTTAGTGCAAGTGGGAGATTTGTGATATTATGTCCTAAGGTCAATCATATAGATGACATAGGGGCTTTACCAACAATATTTATGATTTAATTTTATAAATAAATGGTTAATTTATTTATTATGTTACTGCATTATTTTATTTTAATATACATGATAAAACCCGTAGAGTATAAGTTAAGAACTTAAGAAGATAGTACCTTAGAGTGTTTAGAAAATTAGACCTATACTTTTTAGTACTTCACTTTTAAAAGGTTCCTAATTGGAGGATGTTAAGATATGGACAGAGAAAGGTGAAGTAGAGAGAAATCAAGTTTTGTGAGAATGGTGGCGGGTGTTGAGAGAAAGCCCCAAATTAAGATTAGAGTTGTCTCCCTTAGTCCATGTATTTTTTGTAGTAGTAAGATTGAAAGTACATTAATACCCCTCATGGCATATAAGACATCTCTTAAAATAGGATTCCTTTGTATGCACTATCTAATCAGAATAGACTAGCATGCATTATGCTTGCTCATATTTGATGAGATTAGCTTGTCTCAATCACAACTATAGGGACACTGAAATAGTTGTATAGGTGTTTGTTAGAGGTGCTCGCCTCAAGTCATTACTGTAGGGACATTGAAATAGGTGTATAGGTGCTTGTTAAAGAATAGGTACACTGAACGTGATCATTGACTAATATATGATTTTTTATATGAAATTTTATATGCTTGTCAATGTCCAGTCTAAAGTTACAGTTATGTAAGTGATTCTTAGACGTAAGACATTCTAATTGTCTTGTGAATGAACTTATTGTCAGCTATAGTTGGACATGCATGTAAACTTAAGAGTGTATAACATAAAATTTATCGCCCTTAGTAAAAATGAAGAATGTAATTTGTGATCTTCTAGGATAGAATTGAAGGAGTATTTGGCTATGACAGAAGGACAATTTTTTTTTCCTTTCTTTTTGGGAGGACTTGAACTCTTAACCTCAAGAAAGTAAAACCTTCATAAGGTAAGAAGTATCATTAGATCAAAGGTCTGTTGGTATATGGTAGAATGACAATTGAAAAATAGTTTCTAATTGATATTTAGGAGTCTTAGTATTAGGATCATACATATAACATCGGGTTAGGGACTCGATAGTAATTTTCATACCCTAGTAGGTCAATTAAGAGATTGTGTGATTGAAAGATTGAATTACAGGACAATTATAGACCTATCTAGGGGTTAGTCATGATATGCTGTTAGGTGTCACTTATGATCTGTAGAAGTCTAAAGAATGAAACTAATATAAATACATTGTTCTTCATTTAGAAGTATTGTAATGCAAACTAAATTAGAGAATTCTAATTTGATATGTTATTTGAAGTTAGTGTCTAATGTCTACAACTAGGTATGGTTAAATCTATAGGGTCACACACAATACTATTGATTAGAAATTAAAAGATAAATGAGAGAAAATCAATTAAGAGTTGATTAGATGAAAACCAAGTTAAGAGCTAATTCTGAACTTGTTACGATTAATAGTTGATCAAAAGACGTTGTGTAATTATGAGATAATTGCAATCAGAACTAAACTAGAATTGAGGTCTTCTAACACTCTATAATCAAATCGTATACTGCATTTGACTGGCAAAAATACTTTGTATTATGTATAGATTTATTTCGTATATGTATGAAATGCATATATGAATAATACTCTTTACTTGAGCTATTGGACTAGATTGTCAATAATCTATAGATATTTATTATTTTGTCCACCAAATAAACAAAAACATGAATTGCTAGACTAGATTGATGGTTTTTATATGTAATTAGTATCATTAGATAAGTGACCTAATCAAACATAAGTTTGGACCGATACCAAATGTGGAATTACAAGGGGTAGTATTTTTTTTCCCCTATTTAATCTTATGTTTTATCCATTTATATGGAATTAGTTTGGATTACGTAATGTAATCCTTACTTTTACAATATGGTAACCAAACAAGCCCTAATGGGATTAGGACTCAAAATTAAACTCAAGTTAGATTTTTGTACCAAACATCGGATTCAGATCCCCTCAATTCCCCCTTCTTTCAATTTCCCCTCAATACAGTGCTAGATGAGTGATATGTATAAAATTTTGAATTTCAATGGATAAGATTTTTTCCTTGTGAGAAAATTCCTTAATAATGATTAGCACTCCATCAACAACAAAATGAATGTGGAAACATCTCATCCATTGAAATTCAAAATCTTACACATGTCACTCATCTAGTACGGTATTGAGGGTATTGAGAGAAATTAAAGGGAAAGGGTAATGGAGGGGATCTAAATCCATAAACATCATTCAAATTAAATCCTAGTCTGACTAGGATTTGGACAAAAAAAAAGCCTAATGCTAGGACTCCTAAACTCAAATTAGAAATTTGATTCTTAACCAAATAATACTTAAATTAGAGTTCGACTATAATTTGAACCAAGTAATTCTCTAATGAGATTAGGACTCCTATTTAGATTCAAATTAAAAATTTGATTCTTAATAAAATTTCATACAAAGTAGAATCTTAGTTTGACTAGGACTTTGATTTAAGAATTCTAATCAAATTGAGACTTTTTTTAATTGGATTTAAATTGAGAATTTGATCCCTAACAAAATATCATCCAATTGTAGAATTCTAATATGATTAGGACTCTATAAAACTAATTAATTCAAAATCATTAATGTAAGTTATGTTTAAATTAAAATAATCTCTAATGTTTAAGGAAGTTGCAATCTTAAAGTATCTATGCTATAATTAGAATAATTACATGTATGTGATTGGGTGGGTGTGGGAATAATCATGGACTTGGTCAGAATAATTGAGTTACATGATTGATTTGAATGTGAGGGATTGTATTTTGATTTATGAGTATGTAATTTTTAAAATGGGCCTTGCACGACTCCACACATCTGTATGTAATTTCTTCTTTGACCTCTCCCATGATTGTAATCAAAGTTTCTTCTCATTGATCTAATGTATTAGAATAGGTAGTTTAGTAGGATTAAAGGCAAAGAGGAAAAATGATGGAGGAGCCTAGATGCATATAGACATTAATGATTATTTTAATTGGTTGATTAATGATTTTTCTAATGATTATTTTGGTCAAATTAAAATTAATGATTTAACAATTAATTAATTAGTTTTATAGAGTTCTAATCCTATTAGGATTTTGTGGTCAAAGTCGTAGTCAAACAAAGAGTGTATTTTGGGTGATATTTTGTTAGGAATCAAATTCCCAATTTTAGTCCAACTAAGAGTCCTAATTTTATTTGGGTGGTGTTTTATAAAGAATCAAATTCTTAATTTGAATATAATTATGAGTCCTAATTTCATTAGGATTCTTTTGTCTTAATTCTAGTTGAACTAATATTCTAATTTCAGTGGTGTTTGGTTAAAAAATTAAATTTCTAATTTGAATTTAATTAGGAGTCCTATTTTGTTCAAATCCTTGTCGAACTAGGATTTTGATTTGATTTGTTAAGAACCAAATTTCTAATTCAATTAGAAGCCAATCTTCTAATTTAACCAGAAGTCAAATTTCTAATTCAATTAGAAGACAATAACATAGATAAAATTAACTATCTAGTTGTATCCAACTTGAACTAGTCAACAATCCTTATCTTAATTAAGTTTTGAAACTTCGAAAATACAACTTTTCGGAAACTTCAAAGTTGGATAAAAATTAATTTACTTTAACTTTTGATGAACTAATAGGGGAGCGAGGAAGAGATAGAGAGATGGCTTTTGCTGTGCCAGCACTCTTCTAGGACGGTTTTTATAGAGCTTTAGAAGTCCTCAATCATAGTTTGGGTCTAGTTATAATTATCTCATAATTAGTTTTTTAGGATTATAAGTTTAAGCTTATTTACTTGTAGGTATTGGATATTAACATATGAAATTAGAACTCTTTCGAATTTAGTTTAAAATAAAACCCTTTTTATTTATCAAAATAGAACCCTTTTAATCCTTTCATTATGATGACCAATATATTTATATTATTTCGTCTTTTGGGTTTTTACTAATCGTGAATGACACCTAACATAATATGATCCCACTCTCTAATAGCACAAGTATGTAAAGAACCATTCAGTCTACAATTGACATACAATTAAATCCTTCGATCACACAATGTCTCAATTGAGTTAATTGGTTATAGAATTATTGTCAAACCCCTAACTTAATTTTATGTGTTTGATTTTAAGACTAAGACTTCCTAATTATCAATTAGAAACTCTTTTATAAATATCATTTTGCCTTGACCAATGACTCCTTTAGTCATGTCATAAAATATTACGTAGGACATTCTCCCATTTTACTGAGGGTGATAGATGTCGAATATTGAAATGGGTCCATAATTGGTTGATGAATGTTCTTCGGATGATCCCCATGGATGGGATGTTCGATCAGGAACGACTCCATTCATGTTTAACTATGCCTAACAATAGACATGGATATGTTGCATAGTTAAGCCATTGAATGTCTTGTATAAGACATTTATGGTGTCTCAGGTGCAAGGATCACTTGCATAATCCTTAACGTAGGACTTTAACATTGACGAGCATGTAAAACTTCAATGAAAAATCCGATTTTAGTTCGTGCTTATATTCATTGTACCTATTTTTTAACAAGCATCCTCACACTTGCGATGGTGTCACTAGACCAGTGACCTGGTATGAGTCACCTAATATAAAATATGAGTAAGCATAGTGTATATTAGTCTATCTGATTACATAATGCCCACATTGTAATCTTATCATTAGAAACCTTTAAGAGTAAACTATTAAGAATTATAGGTCTCATAGGCTTGCCCTCTTATTTATAAAATCAAACATTAAATGTTGGTGGTACAATCCTCATTTCATCTATGCGACTAGAGAATTGAAGTTCATGACTGTTGAATGACTTAAGCTGAAGACCATCCTGGGTTTTTTCTTTGGGGATGGTGTGGGGAAGGAAGATAGAGGATGGCACCTATAATCATGGCGAAAGACTTGAGGTGACTGAAGATTTCGTACGACCCATTTCAGTTTTAACTGCTGTTCTGTACTGAGTTCATGTGTTGACCCCTTAAGATTTTTTGGGTTTTCTACAATTTCAAACTCTTTGTGTTTGCCCTTGAACTTCTTTTTCAATTCCTCTCTAGCATTTCTCGCATTGCTAAACTAATTGTTATTCATGTTCTGGCAGCTCCAGTCCATCAGATGCGGCAGTATTATCGGCTTGGTTCCCTTGATAACTGTTCTCAGAAATGGAATGCTCTTTTTGATTGTTTAAATCTGAAAACAAAGCGACCTTCTGAGGTGGAGGTCTGTAATTAAGCATAATTAGTTCGTAGATATGTCAAATATTTCTTGTTGCACTTGTCAAGGGTACCTACAATCTTAGTCCAATGGTGTTAAAATCAATTCATGCATAGACTAGTATTTTTGATCTTTTATGGTAATTTGGCATACATTTAAGGGATGGTTTGTTGAGAACTGTTATTTATACGCGCGTGTGTGTGAGTATATATCACGTGCAATAGGTGTTTTGACTGGTGATTGTGTTGGTGATGGCAGAATGTTAAAGGTGGTTTGATGGGAGGAGTCGCTGCGGCGGGGAAGGGTAGGGATTTGCGGGGAGGTAGGGTTTGGGGTTAAACGTGGTGGTAAAGTGGAGGTGCAATGGGTGAGGTGGGGTTTTGTTTGTTTGGGTTGGCTGGGGGCGGGCTTACAGTTTGTCCCCCATTTTTTAATATTCAGTTAAATTGGTTTGGTTGACTGTTACTTAAACTAAAACCTCATGGGATTCACTGTATGTTTTGGAGTCCCAAGAATCAGTATATTTTCATCAAACCCATAAAGATGTACACAATTCAGGCTGGTTCATGCAGTTTTATACTTTGCCCTAAATGTAACAATTTGATCTTCTGCCATCTGCAGGAAATTCTAGAAATGCGTGAAAAAGCCAAGCCCCACTTCTGGACTCTCCGGACACCAGAAGAAGCCGCATCTCAGTGGGAAGAACTCTTTGGTCATTTGGATGAAGTTGAATGACACAGATCGATCCAGAGTTTCGTTTTTCTTTCCTGTTGCATCCTCATTGGTTTTGTTCCCGAAAACTATTTTTTGTTTTCAAAATTTTAAAAACATCAAAAATTTGTTTGTTTAGTATTTTTGTTCTCAAATTTTTGGGAAAATATGAGAATTGGAGCAAAAAAATAGAAAGCAAGTTAAACATATTTTCAGAGTTTTTTTGAAAATTTTGGAAATACGGAGACAAGCTAAACAAGTTAAATGAGGTCTGCCCTTCGTGTTCCCTTAGCAGCAAAAAACTTTTTTTTTCCCCTTCTTTTCTCTCTCCGCTTTGCCTAGCGTCTTCATCTTCGGCATCTTAGTCTTATTCACTGTGCTTCAGATATGTCTCTTTTTCTCTCTCTCTCTCTCTCTCCACTGTGTTTAAGATTTGTCTCTTTCTCTCTCTCTCTCAACAACTACAGATCTGTGTATTTGTGTATGTGTATGCCTCTCTGTGTGTGTGCGCGCGTGCGCGTGTGTTTTGTAGAGACAGAGAGGGGAGAGAGGGGAAAGAAAGATGGAGGTGGGAATTGTGATTATTGTCTAAACAGATTTTATAATTTTTGTTTTTAAAAATTATTTTTAAAAATATATAATTAAACAGGTTTAATAATTTTAAATTTAAAAAAAAAAAATAGTTTTCATATATTATATTTTTAGATGTAAACTAAGCGGCCCTACGACTCTACAAGTTCTATCACGTAAAGCTGGTGCTGTTCGGATGTTGATCATGCACTGACCCTTATGGGTTTGGACTTTACACACTGACACACATACGTATGCAGGAAGTATTACCGTGCGGTGCAGGGAATATCTCTCTGTGGGATCTTGGATGCATGGATATTTTTAAGTGATACTTGCTTTGTTAAACCATTGTTCAACCATACTTGGCTAATTGTGTGTTTGTGTGATAAATATTTGGATATTACTGGAGGAGTTTACAGCCATTTCAGACAGTTTGACTCCAGAAAGTTATTTTTCACCTGCATATTATTAATATGGTTGTTGATGTATGAATCATTTCCTTGTTTTGAATGATACCCATTCCAGAATTGAGTCGCGCTCATTTTGATGTCATTGTGAGATTCAAATCTTCTCCAACACTTTTTTATCAGTGTATTTAGTGAGGAGCCACAACTATATATATATATATATATATATATAATGAGTTTCATTTGAATGACTTATATTTTAGAAAATCTCACCCGTGGTGCTTGCAAGTAGTAATTTCTAAAATTTTCTCTCTTTTTGTCTCACGTTTCCATCTTTTGGTTTTCTATAAGCAAGAAAATACGAGTTTATTTGATATTTGAAATGCAATGTAAATTCTTCGGCTCAGATAATGAGAGATCTATCTCTCATGAATATTTTAGTTCTAACATGGATAACCTATCTTTCATCGGATTGGGAAAGAGATTAGTTGAGGTGTATGTAAGTTGACCGAATATTCTTGACAATTGAACCAAAAATAAATAAATAAAATGCATTGCAAACATGGTGTGGACTGAGGATCTTTATTTATAACAGGTTTCTCATAGTTTTGAGACCCATGAAAATAAAAGGAAATGAGGTGTGAAAAGCATTAGGATTTAGACTGGGTTTTAAAAATAATTAAGTCTTAGTTTGGATGTTTTTTTTGTGCTATTGAAAAAGGGGTGGGACAAATGAGAGCGTTAAGAAACTACTCCGATAAGTTCTCATTGGTGAGATTATAAAGTTTCTGATTGAACCGTTATTTTTTTCGGGAACGAAGTTAGGCTAGTATAGTAGTCAATTATCGAATTTGACTGTGAACTTCAAAACTTGAACCTTTAACTTCAGGATGAAAAGTTCGGCTGATATTTAACTGGACCACCCCACTTGGTGGTTAATTTGGATTTAAACTTTGTTTACAAATGCTAATTAGTAGCTATCAAGTTCTTCGGGTAAGCATTGTGAATTAATTTGCAATATTCTTTATATGGTCGTGCTCTGTAATTATATCCAATTGGTTTATAATGGGTACTGGCTAACATACACCATGGCGATTGTCTTTTGTGGTCCTTATAATTATGAAGATCTTTCTTATTTCCCCTTCGAAATTTGATATAATATTTAGGTTCTTCTTTTTGGAAATAAAATCATTTAAATAATATTATCATGATTTGTTGATTTCAAAAGAGTACATTAGTATTTAATAAGCAAATCAAATTTGCATCTTTAACTAAAAATTAAAAAATCTCAACCCAAAACAATCAAAATGGATCTTATTTTAATAAATTTTTTATCTCAAAATTTTTCATGTAAAAAGACGAAACAAATATTAGAGTACTAGTTATTACCTATGCTTGAAGGCACACAGAGTAATAAAAAATGATAAACAATAAACATATTTATATTTATATTCAAAATCAAATTACGAATTAGTTTGTAGTGAAGGTGAAAGGTGGTGGTGATAGGAGATGGTGATGATTGTAGTGGATGGAATTGATCGTGATGGCGGTGAGGGCGGCAGTGGTGGCGACGGCGGCAGCGGCAGCGACGATGACAGTGGTGGTGGTGGCGATAATGGTGGCAGTGGCGATAGTGGTGGTGGTGGTGGTGGTGACGGTGGCGACGATAGTGGCGGCGACGACGGTGGTAGTGGTGGTGGTGGGGGTAGAGGTAGTGACAGGACGGTTTCAAACACTATTTTTTTAATGTATTTATGAGAAATAATTTATAATTTTTTTTAAAAAAGTCACTCCAAACATACTCTTAGGAGTCTATTTTTTTCATTAAATTTAAGTTGTTAATATTAGCCGTTAGATTAACTTTTAAATAAAATTTAAAACGATCTCAATCGCGAATAACAAAAGTCATTTTATTTATCTTTTGAGATTTGAATTGTAAACTACTTTATTATATAGATAGGTTATCCAGATTGTCATATTTGACCTTTTATCATTAAAAATGTAATGTTGATTTTAGAATTTGTACTATTACTTATGCTTTATTTGGTACGATGGAAAAGTGGGAGAATAAAAAGTTGGAAGGATAGAAAGTTGGAGGGATAAATAAAATATCATGTTTGGTAAGGAAGGATGAAAAAGTGGATGAATTAACTTTTCTTCCAACTCACCAAAATTAATCCTTCCAAAATCGGAAGAAAAATAGATGAAAAGTTAATTATTTGTGTTGAGATGTATTTTATTTATTTATTAGCAATTGCCCGTGCCTGAAGGCACGATGTTACTTGTAAATTAGTTATAAATATTTGTCCATACATAAATATAAAGTAAAATACAATAATGTAATAAACGACGAATAAAATGAGTCTGCTAATATTTTTTATAGCATCAACCTACATGCATTGTATATATTTTCAATTGTTACGCTACGAAAATTGTATTATAATTACTGAAACATAATAATTCAAACATCTAAAAAAATATATCAGTTGACAATATTCAATGTTCTGTTTTTAATTCAAAATCCATGATTTTAACATTCGTAATTAGTTTTTATCTAAATAACAACGGAATTCATAACTAATAAAATGAAAATTAAAACAAAAATCCTACAAATAAACTAAGTTTGTAAATGTTGTCAAATGACCAAATATAACTATCAAAAATTCAATCGATTTCCAAAAGATACGATCTGACTATTGAATTTGTATAATTCGAGTTTATAGTAGTGCCTTTAATTTTATATCATTCTTCTCGATTATTTATATTTTTAATATATTTTCTTAAACTAAACATTATTTAGTAAAGATTGTTGCTTCGTGTTGTTCACTAAATATTGAATTTGTATAATTCGTGTTCATAGTATTGTTTATAATTTTGTATTATTTCTCTTACTTGTAATTTTGTATCATTTTTCTTGGGTATTTAGATTTGGATTATTTAGTGAATATCGTTACTTTATGTTTTTCACTAAATATTGAATTTGTATGATTTGTATTTATATATGAATTTAATTTTGTATATTTTAAATGTTAAGCATATTTATTTTAATATATCTCTTGATATCTAAGTTGCCCAACAACTTGAATTTAATATTATATATTTTACATGTTAAGCACATTTTCTTTGTTAAATTAGATTTTTTGTAAGTTATATTTTTTTTATTGATTATGAAAAAAAATAAAATTGATTATTGAATTTGTATGATTCGTATTTGTAGTATTGCTTGAATGAAAGAGAGAGATACAGAAGAATATTTTCATGATATATACTATATATCTAATATTTATTACATAATTTTCTTTTAGAAAGAGATACAAAGGAATATTTTCGTAATATACTATCTCTTTCTGTGATATATACTATCTATCTACAGAGAGATATAGTATTTGCTTGAATCAGACACTTTAATATTTTCGTGAGATACAGAGAAAAATATTGTGAAAAATTGATATTTTTTGCGTGAATTGAGCGTGAGAGAAAGATATAGAAGAATGAGAGAGAGAGAGAGAAAGATTTGCTTGATATAAGGAAAAAATTTGAGGCATTAAATTTTGGAATATCAATTTTGAAAACTATAAATTTTTAGCAGCAAAAATATTTCAAAAGAGTTAATGTGATACGTCGGATTAAAATGATCTGAGATGTCAATAGTTTGAGACAGTTTGAGATAACGCAGTCCATTGGATGATGACTTTTTTAGTTACAAAACGATCTGCACCGCTCTTTGTCTCTAAAATTCAAAATCGTTCTACTTTATTATATAGATATATCTTTTTATATATACATATATTATATATACATTAATTCTATATAAAAATACAATGGTAAAAAATGTATATATATATTAAAAAATTTTAAAAATTAAATAAAAAAATAAAAAATAAAGAAATTAAAATTAAAATTTTAAATTAAAAAAAATATTTTTTCCATTTTAACTAAGAGTGAAAATTTTCGACTTAACATGATAATACGATTCGAACTCGACACGAAAATAAAAAGGTCAACTCGTAACTCGACACAACCCAATTAGTTAAGTTAGGTTTGACTAATATTCGATACAAACTCATAATAACTCAACACGAATCTGACACGACAAGACTCAATTGTCACCCCTAATCTTAGCCAGCACAAAAAAACAAGCCATTTTTATTTTCTATCCATCTAATCAAACACAAAGGAAGGAAAGTGTATACTTCCTATTTTTCTCCTTGAAGGATAGAAAATGTATCCATTCTACTTTTCATCCTCCGTATCAAACGAAGCATTAGAATCATGTGGAATTTTTTTATATCGTTCTAATTTAATCAAATGTACAAAGACAAAAAACTTTTTAAATCATGAATTTTTCTTTCAAATACTGAAAAATGAAACCAATGTGGTGGGTAACTAATTTTTAAATTGTAAAAGGTATTAATTTTTTTTACTCAATTCTTAAATTTGTATCTTTACTGTAACATGTTAGAGTTAAACTAATTTTCGACGCTTACGATAGAGCCTACGTTGCTGTGGTCGGGTCCATAGCAGTGGTTAAGTCGAATAATTATTGCTAAAACGGCTCATTTATAACGTACATCCAGAGGCCAGAGCGGTTCTCATTATCGTGTACCCCTCATTATGGGAGCTGTACCCCTCATTATAGTTGGATGATAACTTCTCTCAGAACCATCCATGTGGAGCAATAAACGAGCCTTTAACGACTCAAGAGCTCGCCAATGCAGTGGATGTGCCGATCATGGCGGTTGGTATAGAGGAAAGCCCTGAGGAAAACGGAGATGGAGGCATTGTGGCTGAAGGAGGTGTTAATGGAGTCGCAGAATGCGGAGAAGCGGTTCGGAGAAAGACAGGGATATTACAGAGATCACTGGACTTTTCGGCTTCTTCAGAGCCTGCTCCAAAACGAGGAAGAGGGAGGCCTCGTGGTTCTGGTAAACTTCAAATCCTCGCTTCTTTATGTGAGGTTTAAGTACTCGTTGCTTTGATTCAAATTTTAATTCTTGTTTAATTTATTTATGCATTTGTGCACATATATGTTATTGTGTATAGATTCATGCTTTGATTATTTGTTATTGAACTTAACGTACTGTTGGTATGCAACAATTGAAGTGATCACGTTTAGCATTCAATTTGTTGTATTTTTTGGGTTTTCAACGGCATTGTGGTTGATCGTTATCACAAAAATTTAGTCAGACGATTCTAAGTTTTTTTTTGAGCGATCAGTGTGGATTCTGGTTTTGTATCAATTTACCTCTACCAGACTTCCATTAATGGGGACTACATTGGGTGTTATGTTCGTATGGATTAGGGTTTTGTAAATCACCCCCATAGCAAGGAATTGCAATGGTTTAGAACAAAATTATTTCATCAAATCAAGTAACTCTAAAGGGTTAGTGTTATTCAATTATTGAATTTGGAAGAGAGATTCGCAAATTATCTGCTGACTAGGAAAAAAGAACCATTGGAGTGATTGGTGAAGTATTATGCACAAGGCAGGGTAGGCTTCTTATATTCTTTAATTGAAAGAGAAAGAACTCTGGCTGTGCCTTGTCCTTGAACAAGGGAAGTAAATTTTTATGAGCTTCTATCCATTTTTGGCCCTATTCCATCGGGTCTCATCAGTCCCAAAATAGTTCTTACCATTTCATTACCTTCATTTTGTTTCTTTGTCGGGACATAGATAGCACGTTATGCTCATGTCTTATGGCATCATCCACCAACTTTTTATATATGTAAATTTGAATTTTTGGACTTGGATTGAACTCTTACCTTTGCATTAAATGCTCGGCCAATAATCAAAAGGCACTCAAAATGTCTGGGAATTTCTAGAATCCGCTTTTGATTTCAATTGGAGTCTAATCCTCCCAGTTGTCTAATAGTTTTTGGCCATGACTACTTATTAGTTTTGTAGAAGACATGAGTAAGTGAATGTCTTAAAATTGTGTAAAAAAGTTGTTGCAACTAAAGGTGCATCGACTCTTCACCTAATATGATTGATTGTTGTTGATACAAGTTGACGTTGTATAAGTTTTACAGCTCCTCTTTATCCTTTTCTTCTGCTCCTCCTCCTCCTCCACTTTAAATGGGACAATTGAAATAGATTGTGGAGTTTTATTTGCACTTATTAAGTAGTAAAAATGATCTATATTTGTTAGAATAGAAGTTGGACCTAGAGTGGTGGCAAGTGCTCATCAGCCAAGGCGATATGCCTCAGATTTGAGTCCAAGAATCAGCCTCTCCAAACTGGGTTTAACACATGGCAAGAAATCGTTTGAATTGTTGTTCCCTGCTTAACCATATTTACTCACGTAAAATCAACAATTCATTAGATTTTTTCCTTAATACCAAGTTTTTTTTCTGGTTCGGTTAGATGGGGGTTTTCTGGTTTACTTCCCCATAGAATAACCTTATGAGTGCGTCCTGTGCCACCCTTATTAATATTGTTCTAGGTGTGAACATTTAGCCACAATAACATGTACGGATCGAGAGTTGAGCTTGTTGCGTTTCATGTTTCCTTACCCAAGAAATGCATTTGTTTGTGTTAAGAGATAAATCAATTCTGCTTTTTTTCCCTCTCCACTCTGAACTTGTTTTGTGCAGGTGGGATTGCTGTAGTCACAGCTGGAAGAAACTTCACTCCTCATGCAATGACCGTACACACAGGAGAGGTAATGTTAACATGGCAAAAGGAAGTTTGTGCTATTTCCTTCTAAGTTGTCTATCTTCTGCTACTTGTAATTGTATTATATGTTTATATTAGTGACCTGTTTTTTTTTTAATCTTTTAGTGACTTCCACAAATACCTGCTACTTCTGTTGTTTGCAGGATATTGCCCAGAAGATATTGTTCTTTTCTCAGAGGTGTCCTCACTCCATCAGCATTCTTTCTGCAACCGGTTCTGTCTCTAGAGTAGATATTCACCAACCTGGTTCTTGTGGTAGTATTCTAAGATATGAGGCATGATCCGGCACCCCTTCTTATTTTCTTTACTCTTCATGTGCACACTATTAATTTTAATTCTATTCTGGTTGGATTTTGTTGATGGATAAGTTTTTTACTTGTGATCTGTTCCCTCTTTGTACTCACTTCATAATATTTTTCATTTTACACTCTTGTTTATAAGCAATTTAAGAAAAGAAACTAAAGAGGAAAATTTAATTTTAGCTATGAATATAAACAGGATATAGTAGAACTTTATCTTACAAAAAATCCTTGGCGTTTCATTTGTCTGCATGATCTTATTGTAAAAGCTCATTCCATACTGAAAATCTGAAGCCTAAAAGCTAGTATAAATGTACAGTAGGTCTCTCCACCCATTGCCAACTGATTTTGAGGTGATGCTTTAATACGGTATTATAGCTTGGTTTTGGGAGGTTGTTGGTCAACTCTATCTGTTTGATTTTAGTGGCTTTTTGTTGGGGATTTAGTGTAATTTCTTGTGATTGCCAGTTGTCCTGTCACGTGGTTGCACAGAATGGATGGTATTTAAAGCTGAGAATGCATTCTTGGACCAAGGCTCAAATAAATTGCTGCAGTTAAGATTTTGAAGCAACAGCTAAACTAACACATGGAACCAAATGTTTGGTTTCACAAAGTCTTGGGTTCAAGTCCGCTCGTAAGGGGGAGTCAAATTGTCTTACATCCTAAATATAGTGTCGCAAACTTTTAATATCAACAATATAGCGTCTCTACTCATTTCCATTTGGTTTGGAGATGGGTGGTTTAACACCTAGGAGGAGACTTGAAAACCAAAGTTTATTGAACCAAAGATCTTATACCATGTTAGTTTGGAGGGAAGGCTAAAGCAAACAGAAGAGATAGCCACATGTTGGGATTGGGAATCAGGGGAATGACAGAAAAGAATTGGTCTCAAGGGACATACCTTTTTGGTCAGGATGGGATGGGATGTGATATGAACAGACCATGCTTTTTGGGATTAAATTCCACGCTTTGCTACTCTTTGCTTCATATGTCAAAAAGAAAACTGATATTACCCATCACAGCGTATAATCTAAAATGAGTTTATCTCTGTACTCTTTCTCTTTGCTCGTTCATGCAGGGTTGTTTTGAGATATTAACCTTATCTGGATCACATACTTATAAAGAAATGGGGGGTGTACATCATAAGATCCGCTCATTAAGTGTATCATTAGCTAATCCTGATGGGAGAGTTTTTGGAGGTGCCATTGCAGGTTCGTTCATCGCCGATGGGCCAATTCAAGTAAGTTCTGCTTTCTCATACCTGAGAACTATGGTTTTTTTATGGTCCCATGCATTTTTTCTTTTTATCTTATACCTATTCTATCTGTACATTCCCTTTACATGTACTTGGGTTTTTTGGAAAGATCTGAACACTCTACTTAATTTCAAAAGCTCTGTTGAAGTTCAAATAAGTGCCGCTTAACTAGCTGGAGAAGTAAAATTGCATATTTTGAAAGATCAAAGAGAAGTAGATCCAATGAGCAGTTTTATGATTTATCCTTTGAAGTTCACACATGGATGCTAGACTAGTTGTCACAGTTAATTGTATATTTGTATTGGAAGCTGACTTACAGTTACATCCTCACTACAGGAATTACAATCTAATCATCACTGAATTGTATGTGTGGTTTTAGCTATGATGAAAGTTTCTTCATATGTTGTACTTACTTGAGTTACCGAAGTATCTGTATTTTCCACTTAATTTAGCATTTGCTCATTACTGATACAGTCAGATCAAGTCTTTGCAATCATACCAAGACAATTTGAACTTGTCTCATTGGCATTAGACTGATAAGTTGTTTGAGATTGTAGTGGTTTTCATCTAACAGATCATTCTAGCCAGTTTCAAGCAAAACATGAAACAACAACTCAAGTTGAGGCAATGCATGGATTCGATAGCCACAGACATGCTTTGTAATGCGGATACTGTTACAGCTCAGGCACCTAAAGGGTAAAACAACAGACTCGTCAGACAACTGCCAAACACCCACTTCTTCACTTCGGAAACCACCCATAGAATGACATGGCATCTCATCAATATCGAAATGAGAATAATGGTTCTTACCAAAATGATGGTTTGAACACCTTACAGCCCTCAGCCCATGTCTGATCACAGTACGTTTGACATCTATGTTTGTGGTCCTGCTATATGAACAATTTCCATCATCTCTCCCTCCCTCCCCCTCAAGCAAGTGCACGCAAGCGAGTGCACACTCTTGTTAAAGATCTATAAAGAGATGATTTTCCTTTCCTTCATCTTGTTAGGTGTGGGGTGTTGAGTTTACTATTTCATGCTTTTCTTGTCCATGTGTGTCATGCATGAGATATATCTTGGGAAAATTTCATAAATGGCCATGAACTATGACCTTTATTTTAAAATATCAACAAAGGCTATAGTTCAGGGGACATTTATGAGATTTACCCATAAATCTTTATGGTTCAGAGGGCACTTTTGTTATATATATCCCCTTATGGTGAAAATTTATAGCTTAAGCTTAAAATTTTTTCTTAGAATTATCTTAATCCAGTAGTTTAAACTTTTGATTATTGTATCTAAGTAGAAGACAGATAGTAATATGATATGTTACAGTTGATGGCCCAACAAGGCTCTTCCTTCATGGGGAAGGAGAAGAAAATCAAATACTTGCAGAGTTATTATGATTGGATGTTAGCGAATAACTGGTAAGTTTTGGCATCAAGACTGATTTGTCTAACTGCTGCAACAGCTGCTATAACACCCAATATTGAGAAAACCACAGCTATTGTGGCATTCAACCAGAAAATGGGGCTCCTCATTGGTGGCTTGAATGTCAAGTTGAAGAAAATAACAGGCAGGACAAAGTCAAGTGGCATGAAACCAAAAGCCCCGATGACTGCATTGATGTCTCCAAAGAATGGAAGCATTGCTGCAATTGAAGTTGCTATAATGACAGAGATTGATCGGGATATCGCCCTCGGGACGACGTTCCTGGCAGAGAATTCACTGCTCATTGGGTCTGCAAATGTTCTCTCCAGCACTTCATTTGTGGGCTGCAAGTAAACCTGTACCAAAAGGGAAGGTTGGTAACAACTGCTAGTTGCCTTGTTTTTTTTTCCCTCCTTTTTCTTTCTTTTTGAGGAAATTACGCTTAGACCCCTTGAACTATGTCCATTGTTTCACATTGCCCCCATTGCTTTCTTGCATCTTAAACTATTGGTTTGAGTTACACATTTCACCAAGCGTTGGCGGTTGTCCACTTTTTCACGGTAAGTCAAGGCAAAACTGGGGTCCCGCCCAGTTGAGAGGGGAAAGACAACATCTTTTAGTATTGTGAAATTTTATTCTTGCCATAATTTATTGGAAAAAATTAAACAGAAGTCAACCATTGGGGTAGTCTGAACCAAATAGTGTAGCGGCAATGTAAAACGAAAGACAGTTCCGAGGGGCCCAAATGAAATTTACCTTTTTTTTTTTTTTCTGTTATGAGTGAGAGAGAGAGAGAGAGAGAGAGAGAGAGTTTTCTCACCACTGCAACAGCTGATAGTTGAAGAATAGTGAAGGTGTTGGTCATCAAAATAAACCATTTTGGAACCAAAGGTTTTCCATCATCAACAAAGTTGCTGAGGATGAGACCTTTAGCTAGGTTTCCAAATGCCCAATAGCCAGAAATGGCAACACTGAAAAAAGTGACCGTAACTACAGCATAACAAACACAGAGTCCCTTGAACATTTTCCCTTTCACTGGTGGTGCTAAGGTGGCCTATGATAGAAAAAAAAATACAAAAAAATTAAACTGTGACAGACAGTCCATCAGTCTTGATCGATTAGACAAAACGGGCTTGAGCTTGTGTTCGAGTTTAAACTCGTGTTCAAGATTAAGTTTAGTTTGTTTAGATGCTTCATTACATGTCCTATGATAGAAAAAAAAATACAAAAAAATTAAACTGTGACAGACAGTCCATCAGCCTTGATCGATTAGACAAAACGGGCTTGAGCTTGTGTTCGAGTTTAAACTCGTGTTCAAGATTAAGTTTAGCTTGTTTAGATGCTTCATTACATGTCTATGTTAATGAGCCTAGATCAACTGTGTAGATCATTATTTGGAATGGTATTATTCATTAAACGAGCTTTAAGATTGAACACAAGCTGATTCCGAACTATTCATAGACAATCCGGTTCAATTGTGTCCTTATTTTTGAGAATTATAGACCACCAACCTGAATTTCTGGAATGATCCCATTCCCAAATGTTGTGGCAATGATGGCCATTGCATTGAATATGCCAAAAACTCGAGTTTCACTATTGCTGCTCAGAGAATAGTCCCTCTTTGGTCCCTTGGACGAACATCCTGAGAAAAATCTCTCAAACATTACTCATTTTCCTAACAAAATAATCAAATTTTCTCTGAATTATATGTATAGATTTTGAATATCTTGTGATAAGTATTATTTACCGATATAGATGGAAGCAGCAGTAGCACAGGCGCTGTAGGCAAGGCATAGTACCAAAGAAACCATGTTGATATGCCTTAGCGAATGAAAAGATGGGATTTGAGCCAAAACCAACATTAGACCTCCAAATATGATTACAAACTCATAGAGCTTCATATTACCATCTGGATTTGACAGCAAGTAGATTGCCTGTACAATGGTATATTATATTAACTAGAAATAACCCGTATTTAAAGGCACGGTGCAATGTGAATGATTTTGAGAGGGATGTTGGCGGTCGTTGAATGAATCTATTTGAAATCGTCAAATGAATTTATTGAAGCATGTTTTATTTTATACTATAGATACTAATGTTATTATTTGCTTAAGTTTTTAGAATAGTTGGTTGTTTAACAAAGTCCTTAGTTTTCGACCAAGAGACCTACATACCAATTTCACCATCCCATTAGAAACTAACAAGGTTTTTTGTATGTTTGACTTATTGAACCTGTTTGGAATTAGTTTAAATAGGTAATTTTTAAAGGGTTTGAAATAAAATAAGTCAGACCTCTTTAGATTTTGACTTTTTTATTAGCTTATGCAACAATTTTTTGAACCCAAAAAAACTTATTTAAGCTGATTCAAGAGCTAATTTTATGAGCTTTTCTTTTGGGTTATGGAGTTTTGTCGCAGGTTTTACATAACTTTTTTGTTTATTATATTCATAAAATATTATAATTTAAAATTCATATTTTGAGAACTATTATGCATAATTTATATATACATGTAATTATTTTTTTATTTTGACACAAAAGGCCAAAAAAATTAAACAGCCACTTCAAACGACCTTTTTTTTTTTTTTGCGAAGATTTTTTAACCATAGTTTTTCATCTAAAAAAGTCAGCTTCAAACAGGCATTCTCTTATTAATCTTCAAGGCCAATGGCCCAAAATTTGTTTTGTTTTAAATATGATATTTATTTTAATAAGTTTCACTGATAAAATAAAATACTGGATGATAACCCGCTTCAGGACCCATCAAGACTGGGCCTATGAACAGGCCAGTGGGCTAATCTGATCCGTTGGTAGTGAACGGCCTAATGGCCCGGCCATGTATAGGAACAGGGTGTTGGCTGGGGGGCCGGGTCAGGCTGATGCGTACCTTTAGTGCAATGAAAAATACAAACACGATTTGGAGTGAGATTTTTTACTTATTTAGTAAGAAAATTATCTACTCCATCCGATTGGCTCCGGGTTTGAATCTGGGGCAACCCAGTCTCATGTCAAGAGTAAATGTATAAAAATCTGTATTTGATTTTCTTTTTGAAATCCACTAACCTTCATGCATTGTCCTCCCAAGAGAGTACACCCCACAACTGCACCATAGCATACCATGAACTGAATTGGGCCCACACAATATCTACCCCATCTTGGACCTGCCAAATCAAAAATATCTTTAAATCGTTAAAAAACATAAACTCATGCATATCTCAGCTATTATTTCTATTAATAATATGTGTGCAAATTATATATTATCAAATTTTGAATTTGTCATTATATCTTATGCTTCTTGATTCGATTCGATTCAATTCTGATCTCTTTAAAAAAGATTAAAACCAACATTACAAATCTCGATTTTACATAACTATTCTTGCATCAAATACTAAATAATTAATGCAAAAAGTCAATAGACATTGAGCATGATGTCTCATATATATAATAAAATATTTAGGTGTTTGAAATTTTATTTTATACATATTTTTCTCCATCAAAATTATCCCATCACCTATTTATATCACATCTTTAATCATTTAATATTTAATTAATTTATAATTTAACATAATTTTTATTTCAGATATTATTTACACACGATAATATATATATATATATATATATTGAGAAAATTTGTCGAATTACGTATTTTTGTCGATATTTTAAAAAAAATAATAGGTAAAAATAAATTTTAAATGATGTAATTAAATAAATGGAAGAAAGAAAAATTATTATTTAATATAATAAAATTAATTTTTTGAATAATTAAATTTTATATTTCATCGTGTTTTCAAGTACGGATAATACCTGGCGAGACTAAAATTTAAAGCGGATATATTTTTTGTGGATTTCAAAAGGGTTTTGGCTTTATGCTCACTATATTGTCAACGTGGAGTCTCAAACTTTAATCACCACAATCAAAGTCAAATGAGAAAATTAAATTTCAAAATAGGTACTCAATGAACTATCATTTATAATCATCACTTACGTCATCATTGGACCGGACAGACGTATAAATGAGATTTTCTCGAATATATTTTTATTTTTAATTTAGCTTAGTAATAAATCACATATCAAGTGGGACCCATAATTTTTTTAATTTACTACTCCTCGTGGTATTGGAATTACGAGGTCTTGTTAAATGCACGATAAAGTGGTTGAATCATGACCGTTAATTTAAATTATACTGAATCTTAAAGGACGGATGAAAATAAAAAAGATATATCTTTTGGGTTTGAAAGTAGATGCTAAATATAGAAACAGTAGTAAGTATTGTACCTAAGATGTCATTGGCCATGTCACGAAATCGGAGGTGTCGATGACCCAATTTAGCATGGTGTTCTAGAACAAGAGAGAGTAAATTATAGGAGTAGAATGTGACCAATGCTCCAATCACCAGAAATAGAACTCCTGCTACCCATCCAAGAGAGGCAAATGCAGATGGGAGACTCAACAATGGTGGAGCTACAATTGAGGTCGTCAAGTGGTAACCACTATGCCACCATGATCCTGCATAGTCATGTGAAATTTTTGTTACCTTCAACAGAGCCGACAAATAGGAAATAGTATCTTTCGAATCGATGAATTGTGGAAGGCTAGTTTTTTAGCCGAGCCGATCCGCTTGAAAGTCGGATAACAATACGAAATATATCACATATTTTTAATTTTTAAGTTATTAATTTTTGGGTCATTTTAACAACTCAATTACAAATTTTTTGGGTTATTTTTATAATTACACTATTAAAATATAATATAAAAACATGTAAATCAACAAAATAAACAAATAACATTAAAGAAAACAAAATAAATCGGATAATATGAATGTATAAATCGACGTTGTTTTATACAAAATATATTATTTAAAAAAAAAAATTAAATATATGTACAAGTCGAGTAAGAATGCAGAATTTTTATGAGTATTCTACGTTTCTATATGCCGTTTTGTGGAATATTAACTTTCTTTCATTGGTCGGCGAAATTTTGCATAATTCTAATAATTGAGGAGGATCGGGCAAAATTTTGAACAATCCTACCAATACTTCAAACACGATTGATCTTGAGCTGAGTTTGAGTCAAACCATTTATAACTGAGGGGGTTTCAATTGAATCTCAACCCGACTCACATACTGGCCCGATTGACAGCTCTAAATATATACAAGACTAGTGAAGCAAATTGGTGTATGATACTCTTGCTTCTCCCATTAGGGAAGCTAATTTAATTAAAGGACAAAATTGGAATTTGTGATAAATTAAAGTCTTGGATTCTGGCAATTTACAGGAAGTGTTCATACCACCACTCCAACCTTAATGGAAGGCTATTGGTGGTAGGAGAGGAAAAACTACAGTTTCCGAAAATTAATGGGTCCTTTTTGTATTTAAACAAATTTTTGTTTGGATGTTTCTGAAAATGTAAAAAAATTCCATTGATTTAGAGGGGTGGTAAATGTATTTTTATTTATGTTGACAGCTGATCATCTGCCTTAATTTCCTGATCAGTTCTATGTTTGTGTTGACATGAACTCAAACAACATATTCATATGTGGAGAGAAAAATGATGGTGGTGGTAGTGGCGGCGGCGGTGGTGATGATGATGATGGTAAGCAAAGAAGAACAAGAAGAGTGAACATCATGCAACAGCCATATATATATATATATATATATTACCTTTGGACTTCAGGACAAAGAGAGCCCCAGCATCAGGCTCCCTATGATAGGTTGGCTGAGGAGCCCTATCATCCTCCCCTTCCTGGTCCGCTTTGTACCTTGGATCAAGTGTGCCCATCTCTCTGTCTGTCTGTGCCTCTGTTTGTGTCTCTCTCTCTCGCACACACACAGAGGGAGAGAGAGACATAGGAATGATGAAATAGAAGCAAACAAGGAGATATACTAGTTCTACAGTCAAACGAAACTTCATATGGCCATTACATTTGACTCCGCTCAAAATATCTTATGCAAAAAACCAATGTATTTTATTTTTTTATGATGAGAGAGAGAGAGCGAGCAAAAAGACCATAATACCCATTGTGTAGCCAGGCCAACCTATTTTTTTTTTTAATTTTGTTAACAGAGAGAGAAGTTAAATCCCCTCATAAATTGATTTTTGGGCTATTATCTCAAGGGGAACCTAATCCAGTTGTGGCCTGCATCAATTTAGGTCGTTTGAATGACCTTGCACACAAGAGAATTAGATTAGCTTGGCAAAATTAGTTAAAAGAAAGAAAAAGTAATTTCATAATGCAATAGTTGAAAGTACGGTGCAATGTGAATGGTTTTAAAAGAGATGTTGGTGGCCGTTGGATAAGTTATTTGAGATCGTGAGATAGACTAATTGAAAAGGTGTCTAATTTTATATTATAATTGTAATTATAATTATAATATACTAGGAGTAACCCGTACTTGAAGGCACCGTGCAACGTAAACCTAATGAAGTCGTGAGGTAAGTGAGAAGTGATAGATTTGGCGGGATGAGAGAAAATTTAATGTAAATGGTTTTAAAAGAAATATTGATGGCTGTTAGATGAATCTATTTGAAACCATCGAATGAGTTTATTGAAACCTGTCCTGTTTTATATTATGGAATATATATATAAAAAGCTTTTTTTATGTTGCATTTGTTTATAGTTTTGTTGTTTTTGTTTTTGCCTTTTTCTTAATTGAGTTTGCTCATTTCTTCTAAGCTTGGATGTATGTATGATAGTACAGGATCTATACTATATTATATAGCAAACATATTAGATGTGAGAGACATTGAGAGGCCTTCCCTTCCTATTCTATCAATTTTTAGAATTTTGATTTATTTTATTCCATTCAATCTAATTATATTTCATCATGCTGCATAACTGCCCCTCTACTAACTAATAACTCCTAATTTTAATTTTTTTTAAAATTACTCTCTATCACCCAAAGTTTTTATAATTTTTTGTCTAATTTTAAATGGTGGGTTAGGAGAAAGAAGAAGATAGTGAAGGGGATAACGAAGGACGATGAGATACAAATTTTGTACATTGCACGAGGTTGTTGCAAGTATAGACATATAGAAGTGTATTATCTATGTTTTTATGAAATGATTATCAAACATATTTTTAGTTTTTAGGGTTTTGTATCTTTGTTTGGGTAAATTTCACAATTAGTCCCTAAACTTTAACTTTAACTTTAATTTTAATTTTAATTTTATTCATGAACTTTTAATTATTCTAATTTAGTCCCTTAACTATTATTTTCATCTCAATTTAGTCTTTTTGTCAATTTTCACTGTTAGATCAAATAGAAACATATAATTTAATGATAAAAATTGATCAAATCAGACTAATCTTCATTTGATCTAATAATAAAAATAGACAAAATGATTTAATTGAAATGAAATGCATAAATGAGGGACTAAATTGAGATAATTAAAAATTCAAGGACAAAATTGAGACAAAGAACAAAGTTTAGGGATGAATTAGAATTTTTACCTAACTTGTTTCTATAGGGTCCAAACCATCTTTTTTTTTTAGAGAGAATTATACTCAGACCTCTTGAGGTTTGTTATTTAATTACTCTAACCCCCTGACATTTAAGATATTACACATAAACCCCTAATGTAAATATATCATTTAATAAATTATACTTAAATCCCCTAAAGTTTATAAATATATAATACTTAGACCTCTTGAGTTTAAAATATTATACTTAAACTAAAAATACTTCAATCCAATATAGAATATCAAATATTTAAAATTTTACAACAAAAATTCATATTCTAATGTATTGTTTATTGAAATAAAATTAAAATTAAAAATTTATTTTTTCTTAAAAAATCGTTATTAATATAAAATTATATCATCTATTGGAATAAAACTAAAAAAAATCAAACAAGGGGTCTAAGTCATTCATAATAGAACATGAGTTTTACATCGAAAATTCATGTTATATTATTTCATTTATTGAGATAAAATCAAAAATAAAAGTGTAGTTTTTTTTTTAAAAATTATTGTTAGTATATAATTATATTATCTATTAGAATAAAACTAAAAAAATTAAACAATGGGTCAAACTGCATTGGACACAATATCTTTTAGCTTTAATTGGGGTAGTTTGATAATTAATTTGTTTAGCTTTAATTGGGGTAGTTTGATAATTAATTTGGTTGTTTAAATGACCAAATTAAATTCTAATAGACAATATAATTGTAAACTAATTATGATTTCTTAAGAAAAAAATTGAATTTTTATTTTTAATTTTATTTAAATAAATGATACAATAGAACATGAATTTTAGTAGTAAAATTTAAAATATTTAATATTTTATTTTTGATTGAAGTATTTTTGGTTTAAGTTTAATATTTTAAATTTAAGGGGTCTTAAGTATTATATATTTACAAACTTTAGGGGGTCTAATTATAATTTATTAAATGATATATTTATTTCAGGGGTCAAAGTGTTACGCATGTACAAACTTCAAGAGGTCTGTGTGTAATATTTTAAATATAAAAAATTCTAAGTAATTAAGTGACAAACGTTAAAGTGTCCAGGTGTAATTCTCGCTTTTTTTTAACGGAGTTTACTTGAGGAAAAGGGTGGGGGGAGGGAGGGGGATTTAAACCATCATCTGGTCCAACGGCGAGGTGGTTGGGCATTAGGTCATTAAGCCCAAAATAGCCTGATATGCCCAATTGCCCATCATAAAGGCACATATAGATCAAAGGGGTAATTATAAAATGTCTTTTTCAAGTTTGAGTTATGTTACAATTAACTTTCTCTAGTTTTAATCTGAACAAATTATCCCATAAAGTTTAAAAAAATTTGAAATTAACTCTTGCCGTCAATTTTGACAATCACAACTAATAGAAATTAGTCACATGCGAGTCACGTGATTTCAGATTCATTTAAAGACCCATAACATCCCTTGATCTGATTTTTTTTTTCTCGTATATAACTCTCCCCATCCCTTGCAAGGTGAACATCAAACCTCTGCCATTTCTCTTTGTGACAAAAATCTACCTGTTGTTTGTTTAGCGAGAAAATGGTAAAAAATACAAGAGAAATTTTTTAATATTTTCATGTGTTTGATTATCATGAAAAGAAAAATGATAGAAAAAATAATTTTTTTTTTATACTTGAATTTTATCATAAATATCCAAATTTTTTTTTTTTTTTTTTTTTTATAAAAAACACAAGAAAATGCAAGAAAGGTATGATCTATAACTAACTTTCCATTTTACCCTTATTTTTAAAAAATATTTTATTGGTTATTAATTTAAAAAAAAGTTGGTATGAATTTGATTAATTATACAATTTGGTTCAAATACCTTTATGTTGGTGACTGTCATATAATTAAATTTTGAGCCACTTTTTAAAAATATTTTAAGTTTCAATTATAATTTCATATTCTTTTTAGACTGATTTCATATAATTAAAGATAATTTAGACAATTATAATTTTTTTTTTATAACTTTACTTTCTTTTAAACTATAAAATGATTTTTTTTTTAAAACTTTCTCGTAAATTTTTCATTCTAACTAATACATGCATAAAAATATATTTTTTATCATTTTTTTTTCACTTCACTCTTTATTATTTTTTTTCCTAACAAAACAGACCAAATAGAAACTATTGTCCCTATGGCTGAAACCAATTTCCCACAATAACTTACTTCTTTCTCACACACACAAAGACACACATATCTCCACCCACCGCGACGAAACCACAATGGTAAGGAGTGGTGGCGATAAATCTGCTATATAAAAAGGTTAGTGGTGGGAGCAGTCCCCCTAATTGACACGTGTAAAATTGCAGTCGTTATGAAGTCCAAAAGACGCCGAGAAGCGGAGCCGAGAGATGACGGTATGGAAGAGCCGAGTACACAAGCTGACACCCGCATTTAATGTGACTTGACCTTTCATTTATGACGATGCGAGTAATGGAGACAATACCTTTAATGAGCCCCTGCGTCCTCAGAGCCTAGGCTTGCAGTCATAATGGCTAGACATTAATGGTTACTACGCTAAGTATATCTCCTCGGTGTACCCCGAGATACTGTTCTCCCCGAACATTAAACACTCAGTAGTAGGTGACAAGTGTCGATCATAGGCACTTGAGTGCTAGGGAATAACCATAAGTGCTCGACATGTTCCCGAGTACCTATCCTATCATCCTAGTATTAAATATGTGAAGATCTGGGTGGAGAACATTCAGATCTTTGTGAGTTAAGGCGTCAAACATTGAATGTTCAGATGGGACCTGAAGTCTTTGCACTCATTACTATTCCAGATATAAATACTTTACAGAAAAATGAACAAAGGTACGCAACTTGAAACCACAATACATGATACATTGAGCTCAAACCTCTAATCTTATACTGACTTAAACTTTGGAGGGGATAATCCAGATGTTCACTTGACCTCTTTTTTTTGACCCTATGATTTTTGCAGATCCACTAGGCTGAAGGTCTCTATCTCAAACTATTGCAGAAAATCTCTAGTGCAATCTGGTGCCATCTGTGGGAAAGGACACGAGAATTTCCCTGTAGCGATCGTATTATGATAAACACACGATCTTAGGGTGAGGGCGAAGGAAGTTTGCGCGTCAAGAAAGCGGAGGTTGTCCGACTCTTTATAGTTACTAAATCAGGCCCTTTAAGCCAGTCAGGCGGAGGGGAGCACTCCTCACAACGAACGTTCCCCGTGGACCAAGCCCTTGGGGGGTAAGGCCTTTTGGCTTATGATATCATTGAGATGGTTGACAAGAGGATGGGCAAGCGCATCAAACAAATCGAGAAGAAAAATGCTAAGGTTCGACGACG